ATGTTATAATTGTAAAGAAAAAGCCTACCAATATTGTCACTAAGAATAACTGAGCTTGTTAATTATATTATACGCATCAATTTTACTTCTCTGGAAGCCTACCAAAATGGTAACGAAATGTTAAAAAGGATAATAGTTATCTGTGCTTCTTATACCCTAAAATGCAGCTTCCATGTACAAATATGTTTCACTTTTACCTTTTAAAAATGAAGTCGTTATATATTTAAATCCTGGTATTATAGTGTAAAATCTCTCTGTCTCAAAATAAACTGTTTTCGAAAGTGTATAATATCGTCATTATTTTCCCAAATTTAGGCTATGTTCACACCAGATAGCTTTTGCGCAGGCCCAAAAACATAGTGAACAGGGCTTCTGTTAATTCTCACATAAGAGTGGTGATTTCGGTGATTTCTGTAACGGAGCGAAGCTGCAGATAATATACTGATTTTTAATGGCTATTTTGGGTAGTAATTTTGACATCAATTTTAGTCAAATTCTAGTCCCAGGCTCCTCTCTGTATAATGCCTTGAGAACAAAGTTACAGGCGCCGCCCGGTTAGCTCAGTTGGAAGAGCGCCTGTCTGCTGAGCGGGAGATCGTGAGTTCAAACCCCGGCCGGACCATCAACCAAGGTCTTTAAAACTGGTGAGATCATGCTAGCTGTGAATCCCCTTTCTCAGTTCAGATGATCGCGTCATTGGACGTTGACGTTAAGCCGTTGGCCTTGTCTCCTTCATCCTTAACTTGTACTTCAGTTGGAAGGGGACGTAGATTAACCCGTGACATTAATATTGTTCGAAAAGAGTAGGGAACGTAGGCCCGGTTGTCATGGTCTATCTGACTTGTGCCGTCATCGGTCTGCGTGGGCTAGGTGTGATCAAAACATGGACTGAAGTGGCAGCAAGAGTGCGCCTTTACATGCTGACGTCCGATCTCACCTCTCTGGTTCCTCCGCAATTCAGCTATTGGCTGCAAGTGAGGAAAGTTGGCACAGTTTATTTTTTTTATTTCTACAGGAGCCGATTACTTATTCCTATTATTATTTTTTCTTAACAGGCATGAACTGAAAGCTGCATAGTATAGTCCATGGTCAAATTCATTTGGCAACTCAATTTACCAATGCAGTTAAATGGCACTTTCAAAATTCCCCCTTGGAGGCTGGATTTTTGGTGGTCAAAGGAAAAAAAAAATGAGACGCCCCCACCCATCCCCCGCAGAAACTACAGAACTAGAAGTTAGAGAACTGAGCCAAACTGACTTTTGAGATATCTCATCACACCCAACTTCTGTACTAAGTTTCAGCCAAATCAGTTGACCATAACTTTTGGCCTCTGGAACACTTTCCCGGACAGTGACACTTAAGGCGAAATTTCTACTGCTTGTTTTCGCAACTCGCAGGGAAGAAATCCCTCAGATATTGTAGTACGTTTTTGTGGATGATGTAATTAACATCAAGAGGCAAAGGCCTTTTCCTACCATAAGGCTAGATTATCCAGAAATGCGTGGTTTAGCTATTATGATGGTTTAATTAAATTTGTTTGAGCTTCGCGGCAACAACAGCAAGTACGATTTTAAAACGTCTTTTTTTATTGGTGTATTAAAGTAATTTGATTCTTAATCAGTGAAGTTGAAGCTTCCACATGTGTGCATCTCTGTTATTCCTTGTTAACTGCTGTAATGGTGTTATACTGACAAGTCACCTGGATAACCCTGAAATGAAAAACAAAATCGGTTATTATTTTTCCGTTTTTGCACAGTAATTGTAACTTACGTCCTTGTCAACTAAAGTTGTAATGAGCCATGTGAACTAAATCTAGTAAGTGGCTGTACTTTCTGGGGCAGTTGAAACTGGCTAACGTATCGCCTAATGACCTGGTGATGTTCTATACTACATGTATTAATATTTTGGTCAATAATTGATTACGCTATACCAGCCTTCTAGCAAGTGCGCTAATAGAAACGAGCTGCATCGACTATAGTGCCAGGCGCCAGCTAAAACACTGGGTTGGAAGATTTGTTGATTTTACACCTGGAAGAGCACACATGACCAGCTTTGCAACAACCTTTTTAGCAGAACCCTTTCGGATGCGAAACCTAAGATTAGAAACCTGTCGCCTCCCACTCGCTGCCGCAATAGTTACAAATTAAAAAAAAAAAAAAAAACTGAGCAATTTTGAAAACGAATCGGGTAAGTAACTTCTTCATATCCCCCATGGCTGCGATGGTATAACCATAGACAACTTTCTGAGAATTTTTAAATTTTCTTAATTTTTATAGTTTTTAAACGCTATCACATTTTTTAAAGTATTTGTAAATATCTTTAATCATAGTTTTATTATTCATGGACTACAGTCGACTCTCTCTTAAAGGCCACCTCTATAAGACGGACACTTCTGTAAAACGGACACCTAGAGTTGGTCCCTGCCTTTCTTTGATCCCTTTATTTGACTCTCTATAAGACGGACATCTCTCTAAGACGGACACTTAGTGCCGGTCCCAAAGGTGTCTGTCTTCGAGAGAGTTGACTGTATTGCTATATTACTGGATATTATTATAATAGTTGTTACAGTATTGTAAAATTACATAATTCAGCCGAGAGGCTGCCAAGTAAATAAATAATCTATCTATATTAGGGAATTAATCAAAGTAGTTATTGCCCGTGGTAGCAACAAAATGGAAAAATATTATTCTTTGCTTGCTTTTTTGTTTGTTTTTTTACGGGGGGGGCGGTGGTGTTGTTTGTTTTTATATACATCAATGGCCTAAACAGTAGAAGTGCACGAAAAAAATGAAAATCTAAGGCTTAATTGATTCAGGCGCCGATCTTACTTTCTGCCGAACTAAAGGGGAGAAGAGTGATCTCTAAGTTAAGTTGCTTGTAAAATACGTTATAATAATTTATTCATTCCGTTCGGCACCTGGAAAGTTCGGTGTCGGAATCAAAGCCATTCCAAAGACGCTTCTCAAGTCGAAATTTCCAGCTGGAAGGGCTGGGCGAATTGAACGACTGAGTCTTTCCAAATTGAAATAGGCGTTCCTAATTGATTCAGCCACTCCGAAATTTTCACGGACCGAATAGAGCGTATTTTATTGGAACAAAAAAAAAATGACAAAAAAATGGTCCAAATCCCACAGGATTTGTTTGAAACAGCAATATGGCCGCCGTTTCATGTATTGTTTTGGAACACCAATATGGCCGCCGTGACGTCATTTGAATACGCTCGAACAATGTATTGGGCTCGGCTCATGAAAAGTTCGGCGTCTGAACCGAGCTTGAGTTTGGATCGACAATCGCCTTCTATCAGACGGCTGAAACGGGCGAAGATCTTCGTAGGGAAAAAATTAGATCTTCTCATGGGACAAACTAAATGGGTAGATTAAAATTTTGTATGTTTATAGAATAGTTAGAAAATGATAAATAAACAATAATAGCACTAACAATAATAATAATAATAATAATAATAAGAAGAAGAAGAAGAAGAAGAAGAAATTAATAATGCCCATTCCACTTTATTCTCGTTAGTGTCTTTAGTCTGAAGAACACCTGGCTAAAGTCACAACATACTGGTAGTCCTTTGTGGTAACTTTTGTGCTAAGAGAAATACGTTTTGTAGGTAAAAGACGGAACAGTGAAGCTAGCATTTTCAAGGACCAAACTTCAGGGGGACTTGGTGATTATGAACAGCCAAAAAAAAAACATGCCAAAGTTTCCGTTTAAGCTGATCAATTCAGAGAAATCTATCGGAGCTTCATTTATGGGGACAAAGAAAACTGTCCGATTCTAAGGGGTGTCTGAATTGAATGGGTGTCTCTTAAGAGGGATTTTAATGTAGGATAGTGATCTGTTTCGCACTAGACTCCGGGCAGTCTCTCTTTTTTCTTGGTCCTTCGAGCAAAACGCCCGAGACACGTAAATGACCACGCGCGTGACTGAAGGCGCGAGACAGGAGAGGCACGACAAAAGAGTCTCTCTTTTTTCTTCTCGGGCTGCCACCCTCGTTTCTCGCTTCTCGCGGCTTCTCCGCTCAGCGCTCGCCGGCGCGTGCATCTCCCTTACTAAATCTGAAAAGAGAGCCTGCTTGCAGTCTATTTCGCACCGTTTAGTGCTTTTATTGTTATTGTCTTTCTGTGTTAACTCATTCCCTTCAGTGCTTAGTTAAGTTTGCCGTTTGACTCAACAGTGGAATGAAAAAAAAAAAGTGAACCTTATCGCATTTTGTTTCGTCTCGTTAAAAGCGTGGCGTTTTATCGACACCCAAGATGATGAAGATCTGTTAAATTTAGTAATAACTATGTATTGCTTATATAATACTAAGATGTTACCGAGGCGAAGTTGTAACTAATACTTTTGACCGGACCTGCTTACCCAGTTCGTGCTTTTTTTTTTTTTTTTTTTTTTCGATCAATCAGTGCCTCAGGTTTCTAATGGGAGAGAAGGGGAAATAATAAGAAATTCGGAATTAATCTAGACAATCTGACATGTAAGCAAAAGTACAGTTTTATTTAAGGATTCATATCTATTTTTACTTTCTTTTTTTATTATATTACACTTAATTTAGCATCATTTTATCAAAGTTATCATAACTGTTGGTGAAATCCACGCTTTCTGTCACTAGTTTGAGCAAAAACATGAATCTCATATGACCAAAGGCAGATGCTGGGTTGAATTTTCAACAGTGTTTGAATTTCTCTCGGGATTTGCTTCCAAAGCATCCTTTATACTCACAAAAACTTTTCTAGAAGGTTATCTCAATTTATCCGGGTTTTAAGTAACTTGGAATACATTTAATTAATTAAAAACGGTCGATCCAAGATGATGGATGGTTGTAGTTAGTATATGTAATGACATCACTGCTTAATTTTATGTGTTTAATTTGTGTCTACTTTGTGGAAAAGTTGAATTCTGCCAATAAATTTAAAAAAAAATGTGACGTCATAATGATATCAAATTTCCCCTATTCTGGAATCCGGATTCTCTTACATGGGACATAACAGGTGCACTTACGGTGGTCGGTGATAGTTGTGGGAATTCCAGTCACCGCTGGTGGTGTTGTTACCTTAACTCCTCCGGCAACACCTTCAGAAATATAAATTTAAAGCCAAAAATTTATTCTAGCAGTATGCCGTTTGCGTAACACATATATATGAACTTGATTAATATGTCTTTGGCCTTGCTTCCGCTTCCCAAGAGCCTCTCCGTAGCACAATATACATAGCGTCCTTCCGGTATTTGGGGGAGACCAAAAGTGTACGTAGGTTAATAACCCATTTTCACTGACTATGACATGGTAATTTTTACCTTCAGCTCCTTCTCAAATTAACGAATGCTGATAAATGAGTTGTTTGATATGGGAAAATGATCCCCTTGATCGATTGTTTTTGCATTCTTATGAATTCAAATGCATGTGCAAAGCTCTCCTCCTTATCAATTTGTGAGCTACTTGTATCAAATAGGAAGTTTAGGAAGTTTAGTTAATAGGTAAGGAAAAACAGAAAACGATCCGTTATCATGATATAGCTAGACACGTAAGTGTAATCACACATATAGATATGATTTATAAATATGATTTTTCCTTTAATTCCTTGTCACGTTAGGGTCGCCATGAGTAAGAATTGTCCAGAGATAATTGCACTGTTTACGAATAATTTATGATAATTATTATACATACCATATTGTTTGTACAGTTTGTTTGCCTGATCTGCATCTTTAGCACTTAAGCCATCTCGCTGTCCAATGATTTTCTGGAACTAGATTAAATTTTGTTTGTGTTTGTTTCCGTTTTCGCTTTTTAACAGTAATATTAAGCGGGAAGTTAAAAAAGGGAGTCAATCTGGAAATTTTCTTCTAACGAAATGGCTAGAAAAGAATCAAATTCACGTAAAACTACTTTCTTTCTTTCCGTCTCACACTATATACTGAGGAATTTACACTAGTGTACGTAAGTAGGAAAACATAAGTAGCTGATAAATAATCGTTAAGATAAAATACATTAAGTTCATCCGTGTAAAGTGTCCAAGAGCAAGAGCTTTCTTGTTGGACACCGCGGGTCACGTTTAGATAATCGGCAGCAGCAAGAGAGGAAATAGAATCTCAGATAGTATCAGTGATAGAACATACTAGAACATACAACTTCGCTTCTAGTGTGAAGCCAACAATTAACTTAATTGTTTTTTGTGCATTTTAGTTAAGTGTGATTTTATGTCGATTTCGTGGCCTTTTGATTGCAGTTTTCAAAAGTTCATACCAAGATTTCGCAAGGTGCACTTTGTATAAAGATTTATCCACCAAGGCAGGTATTATTAACTCGAGTTCACGTGAATAAATCTACGATAAATATGGCCGTGATCTTCGAAACTGGCCTGGCCTATAGAAATCAGGTAAACGCTAGCTCGATTTTGAAAACAAAAAATAATGGTATGGAGATTGTTCTAGTGATATGTAAATAATCTTATAATGTACCGTACACACACCCCTTCCTGTTTAACCAATATTGTGGGTAATCCGTTCTTAGAGAATGCGTTCTCTGAGTAATGCATTACACTACGGTAATCGTAAGGGGTTCCAAGCGAATCAATTAGTGAATTGCTGAATTTCATAAAGTTGTGTTCTCTCCCTGAAAGAAAAAAGTTTCAATCACAATTTATTGAACGAGCTGTTAAATGAAAATAAGTAAAAGGATAAATAAATAAATAATAAACAAATTATAAATGAATAAAGGCCTTACGTTGGAGCTGGTATGAGTACGTGGTACACCTTTTAAGCTGTCAAAGTAGACTTGCTTGTCCGTATTCTTATTTTTGATTTGCTTTATTGACGACAACCCCTTTTTCAACTTTAGGAGATATTTTGAATTCCCTGCAAACAGAGACCTCTTCTTCCTGGTATTCGGCGGGAGGGAGGAAAGGACTCGACCTCTGCCAAGGGCCGAGACAGACAACTATGAAGCCGCCGCCCACGCTCGTCCACGGTCCTTTGCACAAAACGCATTTTCCTTGTAGTGTTTATTGACCGTTTCTTGAGTCTCTTTTCCGTCCTCCGGGCGAAGTACCAGGCAAGAAAGGGCCTGTGCTAGCAGGGAACAATTTGAACAGAATAGACAAAAAAAACTAGCTAGTCTTTTATTGAACGCGAGGCTGATGTTGACCTTATTTTCATAGAGAATTCCTTATTTTTCTTATGCAAATAAGGCTAATACTGTAATACCAGTTATAGCATAAGAAAATGATTAACAAAATAAAGCAGCAAGTTTTCTAAAAGAATATCATTGATTTGCCGTGAAATTGGTATACCAACATGAACCGGTACTACGCGGAATTAATAATAAATTATCAATAATAATTTTCACGACTATCATTTTCATCATCATCATCATCATCATCATCATCATATATCATCTCATCATCGTCATCATTATCCATGTGAGGAATTTTCGTACTTACCAGGTAGTATGTTGTCTTTCAAAATGGTGACATATTGGTCTCGGTCAGGACGAGATTGTTTGTGGTAATAACCTAAAGCATGTCCTGCAAAAAAAGGATATATGTTACTTTTTAAATTCACCTCGATGAATGATTCCTACACCCTAGACGCCAGTGAGGATCAGCAGTCAGATTTTTGCCGCTGCGCTGATTGTGTATTGAAACACTATGACAGAATCTGATTGGCTGTTAGAAACAGCAAAAGAAGGAGGAGCTAAATAGACCTCTTTAGCTTGTCTGTTTTGTTTTCCCAATACAGGTCATGTGGTAATACACTAGAGAAATGTTTCTTTCAAATTTTGATTAATTTGCGAGCATATCTAGGCATAATTTATGAAAAGACAAAGGGTCAACTTTCCTTGGGACCTCTATTAGGAAAACAAAACATTCAAGCTGAATAGGTCTATTTCTTTGGCGGCTGTCTTGAAAATCATGCCAAACATTAAGACATCACAGTACAGAGATGAGATTTTAGCCGTTAGCTTGTTTTGTCGTTTGTGTTGGAAAAAAATCCTTAAATTATCTGTGTGTCTTGGAAATTGTCCAAATTCATATGGTTGTGCATAGTGTTTTGACATGACGTCACGGCGGCCATATTGGTGTTCCAAAACAATGAGCGGCGGCCGTGTTGGTTAACCCAGAAAATTCTCTGGGAGTTGAATTCCTTTCTCATGTAAATGATTTTTTTGTTCCAATAAATTAGTATAGATGCTGGCCACGTGAGTGAAAACGCTCTTTATGCCTGTTCTGGATTCCCTCGAAAGCATGGAAAGATCCACTTGAGCACTTTACAGCCGAGAGTATTTTTTTTTTCTGTTGTTAATAGGTTCTTAAGCATACGGCTTAATTGAAAAAGGTTCCTTTGGCAATTGGTCATTGGCAATTGGGCATTGGGCATTTGGGTATACAGAACAATGCAATGATCTGCTTGAGTGATCACCCACGAGAAATAGCTTATTAGTGGGCAATTCCAAATGCTTAAAGCAACCTTTATTGAATTAGCAAAATGGATTTTAATACATTTTGCTAAAGCAATCCTTTATCGCTGCTACTTCACCCGAAAGTGATTAAACATAATGACCAAATAATTACCAATAGCGACGTGTCAGAGCTCCGTATGCATGTTTTGTGAAGAAAGCATGAGAGAGATCAATGAGAAAGATGTTGGATAGCTTTCGTGATGTACTTTGGTGCAGTGTAAACACCCATTCGGACCGTCGCGGTAGCAAATAGGTAGGGGCGAGGATTTGAACCCACTGAGACGGAGGTAAACATTCAGGAATGAGGACTGGAACTGAGTGCACCAAACCCCTTTCGCGAACAATAGAGCGTTTTCACATGACGTCACGGCGGCCATGTTGGTGTTCCAAAACAATGAAACGGCAGCCATGTTGGTGTCCCAAACCAATCCTGTGGGAGTTGAACTCTTTTCTTATGTAAACGCTTTCTTTTGTTCCAATAAATTTGCATAGGTGCTGGCCACGTGAATGAAAACGCCCTATAGCACAAGGTCCTGTGTGTAAACGACTCGTAGTGTTCCAGTTCTGTGCCGTTGCTGTTCAGATATTATGACAGATCCAAGACCTATGGCTATTGACCGGATCGGAAAATACGGTATAAACATAGCCAAAAGAACAAAAGCGTAGGTCATAGCTAACAAACCAGTCCATTTTTGTTGTTATAAAAGAATAATTTCACCATGTTATTTGCTACGGAAACTCAGGCCGATCAGTTTGCTAGCTGGGAGATGTGGAACAAATAATATGTTCTTGGAAGGAAAGTGTTGCTGGGGAAATGACAATTCAGAGAGTCTGAGGGGATTTTATGTGTAAAAAAGCTGGTATGTGTTATTTGTGAGAAGCCTCTTCCCCCCTCCACCCACTGAAAGGGTAGATTCCGCCCTCTGGCCACACCCAAACGGGTCAGTAATGAACAAACGTCTGCTGGGAAACTTCCTATTAAGTCAGGATGCAGGGTGCACGTGCACCTTGTCTTGCTGGGAGTGACGAACAGATAAATCTTTCCCAGAAATCCCCCAAAATGCTTAAGAGTGTGTCCATGAGAAAACCAGGCAGAACCAGGCAGGGGGTGATAATGCTCAAATCACCGATTTCGCTCAAACTTGGCACAAATGTTAGGTATCAGGAGTTAGCCTATGTGACAGAATGTCAAGTCAAAATATTAAATTCCCTGGGAGATCCGGGCTCCCCCTGTAAAAATCGCCATTTTGCCCGTTTATGCATAATTAATTAGCTAACTTTACGATGCCAGTGCAACAAACAGAAAAGCCACCTGGAACTTAAATGCACTGAGAAATAATCAGACATCATAAGACTTTAAGCACAATAAACTGTTTAAAGTCGCCGATTCGATTTCCCCTCTTAGCCCCCCTTAAGTTGGGTCATCATTTCCAAGTTTTGAGTAAGACGTAAAATTAGGGTATTTTATTCCCAAATATCTCTGATGAGCAACCGCTTATCTTTATAACTTTTGCATGAGTAGTTAAAGCCATCACTTAAGTTGAGAAAAAGATCATAAAAAAGTTGGGCAATTCACTTTCTTCCATGTGTTGACATAAACTGTTCATGTGACTGAACGACTTTTGCATATTTCATCAAAATTCAGGCCCTCACAATATTCGTGTGTTTGCCTTTGAATGAGGAGAAATCGAGCAAAAAAACTCATCAGACAATGATTTAACATTAATAAGGGTAAAATCATAAAAATTGTTGTGCAAGAAACGTTAACGACGATTTTTGATAGCTATATACGCGATCTTTTCAAGTAAAAACAACATACAAAGATTTATTCACAGTTCTACTTACTTTAACAATTTCGCCCTAAAACCAATATAAACGATCAATAAAATCCATATACGTATCTCTTAGATGTCTCAACTGCTAGTTTGTGCCCGCTTTGATTTGTTCTTCATGCCACCTTCGATGTCCAGTTCAGCGTAGTCACAGCGTCGTGACTCGCTGTACGACTAAAATTCCTTAGCCATCAGTTTACGCACCAAAATCCAAATCAAGTTGTTTTAGGACAAAACAATACGAAAGGTAGAAAGCCGATTCTTAACCCATTGAAAGAATTATTTCTGCCACTGTTGTAGCTCAATTCACATGTTGCAAACGTCCGACATCTTTGACATTAAATGGAGCCCGCATTTTTAAGCAGCGGTTGCCACCATACAGAAACATCGTATCGGGAGTCAGGAACCAGGAGCCAGGAGCCAGAGTTCAGTGAACAAAATGACTTTCCAACATTCTCTGAGATTATTTTATTGTTATTGTATGCTGATAAATAATTTAGAATTCCAAATCTATTGGTAACTTTATTCAGACCATGATTATAAATGATCCCATGTCTTCTCAAACTTGCAGATAGAAGTCGTTTTGTCTTCGTGTTTTGGAAAGAACTATTTTTTCTATTTTAGTTGCGCGTGAAATAGCAGCGAAGTGAAGCCGGATGTTGGTGCAGACCAGTTCAAAGAGACAAATAAAGCGTGAGACACGTCCAGATTGGCTTGCGACAAGAATTCCATTTTTTTTTTCATACTGGAGTCCCTTCTCCTGGGGAGTGTCCAAATTGCGTACAAATGCCCTACCCTGCTGGCACCAGATTTGACTGTCATAAACAGTGAATTTTTTTTTATCTCGCACGGTCTTTTGGGGGTCTTATAAAGCCTAACTGTGGCACTAATGTTCCCAAGTAGAATTCAAAATACACCACACTTTCACATTGAGTTAGATATTTTTTCAAACAACCGCTTCCATATGTTTAACACCCTTCCCACATTCCCTCCGAGAGATACTTCAACTGTAATACTTCGATTTCAAATTTCTCACCCTACCCAGGTAAGGTCAATTTTCTCGTCCTAGACATCGATCTCGGAAGGGCCTTTTTAGCGTACTCTTGGGCACCAAAACCAGTTTAGTGCCCAGCCGTGTACCGTGCTGAGGCAGGCAGATGTTGAATTATGGACAGACACAACAATTAAGTTACAGACATTTGATGTTCCGGTCCGTGCGTGGTCGGAAGACACCCAGTAAATAATGCCCATCGGTTTGCCCATGGAAAATTTGGGTTTTACGAGAGTCGAACTGCAGGAGGTCTTTAACGAGGAAAAATGCGGACACATCTACTTTTTGGAGTGAATGTACTGCATGCAATTTTCAAGTTACAATATACTATAGATAAATCTAATTTGTTTCTAAAGTTCCTCTCATACTCCGAGTAGCTTAGGACATACAGGGAACGCAGAGATCAGACCACTGCATCATGGAAAATTCTCAATCAGACTGTCATCGTAAAGAGTGGTCGCGGTCGCTTACTGGATGTGGATGTGTTCGTTTACAGGAGGTTCAGACTACAAGCGCTTTGACTTGATAATATATTTGGTGTGTTGAATAAGTGATCGCTTATTGGGAAGTGGTCACTTAAGTTGGGTGGTCGCACGAAGGTTTGACTGTGCCTCGTTAAGCGAAAATTTGTTAAAATGTAAGAAAAATCCTAAAATTGTAATACAGTGGAAGCTCTCGTACGAGGGCGCCCTCGGGACGAGAAAAAGGTGTCCTTAACTGGATCTGGCCGCTTACAAGAATGAATCTCATATGCAGAATAGTTATGCAAGTGGAATTCAGCCACTTTAAAAGTGGTGTAAAGGTTAGATAGCCGCTTACGGAAGCTCCTCCCAGCTACAAATTAACACTGGTAATAGCAAAAAAACTGTTTTTTAGTGTATGGTTGCGCTGATGTTCTTGCCTTGTTGTAATTTAGTTAAAAGCATACAATTCAGTTTGTATTTTCAAGTGTAACCGGAAGAGTATGTGAAAAAAACGGTAACTCTGAAATGAATATATAAGAATGATTCATAACAGTGACAAACAGCCATATGACTGTGGACATGATATGAAAAAAACAACAACAACAACATTCAGAGGCGGATAAGATTTCTTTCGAGTGTCTGCTTAGGAGAACTTTAAATCAAAGCTAACATCTAATTCGCCGGTAAACCCTTTAAGTGTCCGCGGCCGCCTACGGGAATGTAAAAATCCAGAGTTTGTGTGGGAGTTGAAACGGTATTTTGTGATGGCGGTCGTAAGTAGAGCTATTTGCTATATACGAGAGTGTCCATTAAGAGAACTTAATCTAGTGTATGAATCCGCAAATGACAGCTTAAATGAGAAGTGAATACAGTGTATTAGTCTGTGTTCAAGAAACTGTTCTCTTACACCTTCCTTATAGCCAAAGAAGTCTAGCCGACTTTTTTTGCAATGCATTAGTGCCCCCTTTTGGGTCTTTTGTATTCCTCAGAAGTTTTTCCTCAACACGTTTATGAACGGTTATTATTATATTTTTGTAGTCAATAATATACCCAGATACAGATACCAACCTGTATAGTTGTAAGACTACGAAGATTAAAATACAGCTAAGTAAGTAATTATACCCAGTGGCAAGTCATTAATTGTCTAAAAATTGCATGGCACGGTCTGACTACAAAAAGGGCTATTATGGACCATTATTATCATGGTAATTAATGTCAACATCGAATAAACTCAAAATTTCAAGTAACACGACTTTCACAACCTATTTTCAACACACCACTTATAACAGGATATTGGCGGGTACAACAATAGATAGCGTATTCCGCATTCCGGAGTCCGGTAGTCCGGCGTCACAGATTCCATCTTTTTGGCAGAGTCTAAAGTCAAAGATGGAGGGTGTTCGAGCAGGTGGTTGTTTTCTGTAGATATAGACGGATTGTCGGTGATCCTTCTTGTCCTTTGAGAATGATTTTGTTCTTTCTGACTACAACTCATTTCAAAGACTTCGAATGTTCGGTGAAAACCCGACACTTTTAATTCTGCAATGTTTCAAGATGTTTCGATTTCATTACCTCGTCACGAAGTAACGCCACAAAGGACCAGACGAAACTGGAGCAGCAAGTTTGGACTAAAGCACCTTAGAGACATGTATGTGACATTTATTCACTATCTTTTATCCTTATTGGGTCTTGTTTCACCTACAAGTTGGACCGATCGAAGTTTTGAACTAACTCTTTTGCTCCTTGTGTTTACTCAAGCGTTCCGTAAAATATCCATCCAAACGTCCATTAATAACACAGAAAACATGCCTCAGGTGACACGTTCTAACAATTCCGCTTTTAGTATCGATAATGACGCATCTGATTTGTGACTTCTCGTCAACTTTGTGTTATTTTTGTTTAAAAAAACGAATGTTACGTTTCTTCCAATTTTGGTCAAATGACAAATAAGCGTCAAGTCAGATGTACATAATACGTCATTATTGGTAAAGTATGAGATTGCCCAAATATTTTATGATTGATTTGATAACCTTAAAGATGTCTTTCAAAGAATATGTGAGAATTAAGTACATAGGTTGTTGCTCATGGGAGATGTTAGCCACTAAAATACCTTAAATTTAGGTTTTGGTCAAAACAGTGAGAAGATGTCCTTACATTAGGCTAAATAATAGGAAGAGATCGAATTAGAGAGTAAAAATAAATTACTGAGCATTAAGTTTGATAAACATAGAAGATGATAAAGTTAATTAGACTTGAAGTTGTCTTTTCTTCTTGTTGAACAGCCAAACCAAAGTCAGCTAATTAATTATGCAAAAATGAGTAGATTTTGTCGTTTTTAGGGGGGGTCCCTGTAAATCCCAGGGAATTCAATATTGCGACCTTATTTTTTGTCGAGGTTAATATCTCACCACACCCATCAATTGTGCCAAGTTTGAGCGAAATCCGTGATTTGAGCATTATCACCTCCTGCCTGGTTCTCTCATGGACACACTCTTAAAATGGTTCCAGAAAGAGTAAATCGTGCTTTGTTGTTGTTTTTAGGTCTTGTTCTATAAATGATTCTCGTTGGGTGCCCCTGGAAACTAATGCCTCTACATTGAACTTAAATAACAGCAGCTTTACGGGCTCGCTATTTATCTGGACTTTTTTAATTTGCACCTCAAACATTTTATAACAACTTGCAGGTAGCCAGTTTTACTTACACCAAGAACCATTTGAATTAGAACACAGAACGAGACTCTTTTTTTATTATTTTTAAACTACAAAGGATGAAAAACATGTTGAATGTTGAAAAATTGCCCCCAAGCAACTTTCAGCATGCTTCACCTGGCCTTAAAGCAGTTTTAAACTTAATGTACAGGTGTATGTTCGAAAATAATTCGAAGTCTACTGGTAATTTCGCTTGACTAAGTTTATTTATAGCAGCCATTTTATGTGTAGCTTTTGCCGCTTGTGGGCACGCTAAAAGACGATTTTTTTGCGTATAGAAGTTAATGCAAGCGTCCACAATGCTTCTCTTGATACAAACTTCATCGTCGTAAAGTTTTGCCGAGTTGCAGTTGTTTCTGTTGAACAAATTCAGACAAGTAATTAGGATCTAATCACAATGCCTTAAGTTTAAGTTCACGTTTTGTTTAATTTTAACCAGAAACACGACAAAAAACAAACAAACAAACGAACAAAATAAAAAACAAAACAAAACAAAACAAAAGCTATTTAGGCTGATCGTATCTCAGATATAAAACAGTAATTTATACCAGAAATGCACGCCCCGCAAACTTTGTCAGGGAATCGGAATATTGTTTCCTCTCGGTCTTTCAAATCCTTGTTTAAACAAACTGGCCATCGACCTCTTTTTTGGTCAGCCGGTGAGGGCATTATACATTAGAATGGACCAGCCCCTGTGAGCAGGGTAAAAATTTAAAGGAACTGTGTCACGAAATTTATCAAAATTCAAACAGCAAGACAGAAAAAAAGAAAGCCTGTTTTTAAAACTTGTTAGCCTAAAAGTTTTTTACATTTATTTCTTGTTGCTTGTAACGTTTAATATAATGCTTTGGGAGAGATATTTGTTACAAAGTTGTGATTTTGTCTTTAAGACTGAAGTAAATTTTTCGCTTATGAAAATAAAGACGCTTTATAGGCAATGTTAACTCAAAGAATTTGACACAGCCCCTTTAAACAGTTGTCAAAATCGTTTTTAATTCTCTTTATCTTAAAGTGCTTTAAACATACCTGCAGAGAACGTTGGACGAGATGCCAAAGGAACGTAGAGGAAAGACAGAACAAAAAGAAACAATAGAATCGAGGTGTCTATCTCTAAAAAATAAAACACATAGAAGAGTTAAGACAAAACGAAGCAAAACGAAAACTTTGTTTAAAGAAAGTTTGCATAGCTTATTACTAATTTTGTTATAACTATGATCTTACCTTTTGGAAAGAAATTGCAAGAATTGCCCAGTTTCTCGCCATCTGTAGAAGACTGAATGAGTTCCAGACCTGTTTCCTGACAGAATGTAAGAATGAAAACTTCTTGTTAAAGAAAAAAACTTGTTTTCCCAAATACAGTCGAAGCTTTCCTTTCGACCATTACTCTCGTAAGCGACCAGCCCTAATTACTACTATTTTTGAAAAACTCCGTTTGAACTGTGACTTTTGTAATGAAAGCGACCGCGAACACTTTTGAGATTACCAACTAGAATTTTCCTTTTTTTATGCTCTCGTAAGCGGCCACACAGCGAATACTCAGGGTTTCACTCGATACTGGTAATGCATCAGTCAATTCCACTTGCCCCCAGCAGCGGTCTATTAATTTAATTTCAATAATTTTATATCAATACTAAAACCATAAACTGGTGCATGTCGTCGTTAGAATCCTAACGCGTCGTTGGAATCCTAGCGCTGTTACAAAGAAAGACGGTAATTGAGACAAGAAATCGCACATTAAAATGCTTAAAATGGAACTATTCGACTGTGCGATCAATGAAAAATGCTGCAGTGTTGACAGAGGACAGGGAACTGCACACTGCGCTAATGGTCTAAAAGATGGACGTAAAATTAAGCGGCGTCTACCATCTGTAGTTACGACCACTTTTTTTGAATTTCCGTTGTGGTCACCTGTGTTAAATATCTCTAACGACCATTTAAAACTTACTCGTTCATAATATGCCACAACTTCTGAGAGTGCAGAGTCACCTTCATGGGAGGCTTTGATCTCACAGAAGAATGAATTATTTGCGTTGTTAACGTGACATATATCGAAATAGCAATGTGGAAAGTCAGTAGAGTTTTCCGCTGAATTCCATGCATCTCTTGACTTGATGGTCTGCAAAAGTGAAAGGTTAAGAACTGATATGTTCCCTGAGGTTATTAGTGTATAAAGGCAATTGCTGATGATTACGCTGACACAGCTTGTTCACACACGTTTTCCTTTTTTACCCCCTTGCACTTGGGATCAATATTTATCGCATTTTTTATTTTCATTCACGCACTCGGCTATCTTTTAAGACAAAATAGATGGTCCGTGATCAGTCTAAGCTAACAAACTCTTTCAAGGTTTTTTTGAATTCTTTTTTTTTCTGCGGTAGTATAAACGCACCTTTCCTTTTATATCGCCAGCAAGACCAAATTTTCTAGTTTGAATACGATTCGATCGGATAGATGGTATTTTAAGCACATTATCTATAGAATTAAAGATGAAGAGCTGGGGAGGAGTTGCTGGAGAGAAGTAAAAGTAGGGAAGGTGAGAGGGGTAGATCGTGTTTCAACCGGCGACTGCATGAGAAATGGAAAACCTAGAGAAGTCTGCCAAAAGGCAGAAAAGGACTATCAGAGCCACTTACTTCACTCATGATGTGCAACGTTATCGATCATTGACTTTTTCTTAAGAAAAAGCTTCGTTAAAATTTTCCATTTGTACCTTCACATTGCTTCCTTTGACCTTCCATCCATCTTCCAATGAATTGAGCTCAATTTTGATGTCTTCGTTGCTGTTAGACACAAATATTCCAGAAAGAGGTGTCAGAAGCCTTTTTCCACTCTGGTCTCCTTTCTGGCAAATTTTCTGTTTACATTAAACGGACGAAAAATTATAACTGTTGAAAATAAAAACCCCTTGGAGAGCAAAATCGAATTATTACAAGAGATGTTTTACAACGGTTAGCATTCTAAGACAGGAGTAAGTGACTGAGCAGTTACGCACACTAGCAGCACGCTAATCAGCGTAATATCTAAAGTTCCTGAAGAATTCTGGAAGACATGAAGTACGAGAAAAGTTTGCGTTACTCCAAAACTTTGAAGTTTAATAACCTGAAGATCTTTTAGGTATGATCGCCAAACTTAACGACTTTCAAGAAATTCGTCTGGAAATACTTTTAAGTCTTATAGTGACGTGTTCGTCATAACTGAAGTTTATAGCATGGTAACCCAAGTTTATCGAATTTAAATCTCTAGTACTTTTGAACACAAACTTGTCGAAATTTGTACCCATGGGTGAAAGGGGAAAGAGTGCAGAGGTCTTAATTCTAGCACTATGAATTGCTACTTTAATGAAAATCCCATGAAAACGCCTTGAAAACCCCATGAAAGCACTTTTAATGGCCATGAAAACAGAGATTTAGATTTCATGGTGTTATATTCAAGCCATGAATTTCCCATGAAATATGGAATGAGTGATTTTCATGGGCCATGAAAAAAATTTAGAGCACTGAAAATGGATTTCATGGGCCATGAAATTTCCACATATTACATATTGGCAGGTTTCATGACCCATGAAAATGTTACTTTGCTGTCTGTATTTCATGGGTCATGAAAAACCCATGAAAACACTTTAAGGGGAATTCACCATGATGCAAAATCATGAAAATGCCATGAATTAAAGCTAAGTAGAAATGGATGAAACATTATTTTAAGATAATAAAATCTGTTTAATTTAAGTCACTTGAAGTGTTCTTGTTTTGCAGTTGAGTCCCAAGAATCTGATTAATACTAAACAGCACTGTCATGAAGTTCTGAGCCACCCAATGCTTTTAATGTTTCACCTGCACTCATGATCAATTGTTAGGAATTTCTTTGCAAACAGTTGCGGCATCAGCTGTAACATTAACATTTGTAAATCAAAATCAGATGAACTCAGGATATAAACTGGTGTTATAGAGTATGACTCTTAATGACAGATATTTCCATCAATTTTGTGTTACTGAGTGCTCTTGCACTCTTAATGACAGCTCCCTGCTAAAACTAATGGTTTCTCCAAATATAATTTTCCATGAATTTTGTAACTAATTAACTTGCATCATTTAAGTGTCAGTAATAAACATCTAAAAACCAGATCTTGAGGTTTTCATCAACTGCAGTTGTGAGTGGTTGAGACAGATGACTCAGGAGGACTGGAACAGTTTGTCCAATGGAATCCTCTGAACACCAAAGACCACAGCTGGGAATAAACTCTGCCTTTCTGTAGAAACTCACAGCTGCCCACATAAATGACTTCTGTGAAAAAGTGTGTTGATAGATCTGGTCAACAACACCAAACCTTAACGACCTGCTGGCACTACAGCTGCTAGCCTCTGAGCTTGAGGGAGGACTGTAAAAAACAATAGTTGGCCTTTTGCGTGGGTGTTGTGTTGAAATGTAAAGGTAGCTGCAGAAGTGCTGCTTATCATCCAATAAAAATTGGTGGTAGACAACTGCTGTTGGTTGAAGGCCCTCGAGGATAGACAAATGCACATCTGATATAGCCTGACTTCCCTCCGGTCTCCAATTGGTAAACTTTGGAAATTTCTTTAGATTTCCCTTTTTACGAGCCACTTCTTTCTCCATTTGATAAATCGTCCACAGTGACTGGACTTGAGGGATTTCTTGCTTGTAAATTTCATTCACGTGAGCCAGGTTGTCATTTGAGAGATGCATTGTTCCCAGTGAACTTCCATCTGAGAGAAATGGTGACAGTGAATCTCTACTCAAGTGACTATCATCTCCACATGGAAGTACGAAGGGAAGTTTATTCCTCATCTTTCCCGACAATTTCATATAGTGACACCACTCAAAGATCTGTTAACAAAGAATAAATACAGAAAATGTCTAGTGAAAAGAATACAATAGACAGATACACATATATTGTAAGTAACGTAACTACATGAGCAGGAGTGTTGCATCCGCCTATACAATAACAATGTAAGCCCGGATTTATTTTTCAATGTTAATTTTCCAGCAATTTAGGAAATTCCAGGAGTATGAACACTGGCACATGCACAGCATATCCATAATGAGACAGCTAAAATAATCATTAACTAGCTTTTAATAAGAACCCTGTCTGTACATCTACCATACAATCTGTACTTGTGCTCAAAGCTCACTGAAAGCATTACCTGATAAGTTCTAAGAATGGTGGCCTCTGGATGTCTTCTATTCAGCGCCCTCCTGCACAGCCATGAATTGAATCTCTCATAGGCAAACATCCATGTACCGTGTACAGGCCCAAAACTCTCAATCCCTTCTGGCAGGTGATGGAGTATGTGATTTGTGATAACCTTTCACTGTCGCTAGAGTCACTATTCGTACTCGAATCGCTTTCGTTAATTCTTGATTTCTTAGCCGTTGACGGCCCTTCGATGGATTTCTTCGAATCCCACAAGCCGTATAACTTAAGGTGTTGCTTTACCTTATAACTTGATTGCACTGCTTCACCTTTGCAAATGGTGCAAAAACAGACTCGAGAAGGCATTGAATCGACAACAAGGCCCTTGTGGGTTCAAGCGATGGTTCAAGCAAGTACAATGCGCAGGCCCAAAAGCCGAGTTTACGGTCGTTTACCGAATCGTTTACGACGATGAGCCGAAGCCGGTCGACTGCGAGGGCTCATGGGATACTCTGTATCATGTGACTTCTAACGGGGAAGAGGCGGTTTTTTTGGAGTCAAATCTTTGGATTCGCTTGAAAATTCACTTTCAATAAATTTGATGCCATGGAGCAGATCTTTTCTGGTTTCCAATCTGCCGACAAAGATCGCATCTTGGAGGTTCTACTGAACGAAGGGGTAAGTTCTTGTTGATGAAGAAGCGTTTATAACATTTGTCTCAGTCGTCGAACGAAATGTACACCACAGATCGCACGCTTACAGTCAAACCAGGTCAAGCGTTCCCGTCGCTAACAAACTAATGAATTCATTAATGGAAAAATGATTTCGTTTGTTGATTCAATAATCCATTCATAAAATGAATAATCCAACAGTCAAATTGTACCTCGATTCAATAATCAAATGTTGATTTGGTTTATGAACAAAATCTACCTGTTCTTTATTCTTGTCTGTTGTGTTCAATCGTATTTGCTTCCCCTTTCCTGCCGTTTACGATTGCGTTTTTCATTGCCTTTAATCAAAATAACAGCTAGAAGAGACAGACCGCAAACGCAAAGAAACTGACAAAGGCCGAGGATCGAAATCCACCAATCACCGCACATACACTGACCTCAGTTTGACCGTCGTGTTTTCTAAGAGGTCAGGCCTAGGTCTGTTGCACTGATTATTGGCAGCAAACTGGCGTACATGTAACAGTTTGTTTGGGTTTGAACTTCAGAACTCGCCAGCACTCGACTCTCAGAAAAAAAAGAGGAAAAAACAAAATTCTGAGGTCAACTTGTGGAAAGTGTAATTTTTCAAAAAACAGTAATCGAATCAACATTCGATTATGGAATCGAGGCTAAATATGACTATTGGATTGTTCATTTTATGAATGGATTATTGAATCAACAAACGAAATCATTTTTCCGTGAATGAATTCATTAGTTCATTAGCGACGGGAACGCTTGACCTGGTTTGACTGTAAAGCGGTTTTGTTTAGTCCTTGAAAATACTGTAACTTACATTCGATTACTTTTTTTATAGCTTTCATTCAATCCTTGTTCAACATCATAAATTATAGTGTCCTGACTTTCCTAACGTTTTGATCGCCACAGATTGATGATCTAGAGACTCTCGAAGCGGCGAGAGAAGATGACCTTCATCGCGCGGGTCTCAAAATGGGAGACATAATAAAAATCCGCCGCGTGCTTCAAGCAAGATCGAAAGAAAGTCCCCTGAACAGCTCACTATCGAGCTTATACAGTGTGCATTCTCTTGCTTTCTTTAAATTTAGCTACAGCAAAAGGAATGCATTGCAATATTTTTTTATGGGCTGTTTGAAAGTCATTGTCTTGTTTAATGTCAATTGGAAAATAATCAGTGAACCTAGTCCTTGCTCTTGAAGTCCCCCAATCATTGGGCACACAAGTTTCTTATTGTTTTTACCCCCTATTTGACATCATATGGCAATCTCTTGCAATTTACTTTTTCAGAGTAACAAGACTTTTGTCAACGAAGAGAAAAAGTCAAAAGGTAATTGATAAATACATAATGGCTGCCACTCTAACTTATTTAGGGCCTCTTCATACAGCTGTATAAGACTAAAATTATTATTTTCCATCTAAACAGAAAAGGTGCGAAGAAACAATTTAAATCCAGCATCTTTGCATCTTTTGTAGTGTCAATCTTCCACATTTTTAACCATACATGTTTGTTTGTCTCTATATCTCTGGTGTTTTTTTTTTATCTTACAGTGTATTTAATTAATTTTGTATGTTACACTGAGGAGGTAAATACTAGTTTTCAAAATTACTTAATATTGTGCATACATGTAAATAGTGCATTTTTGTTGCTTACGATTTCAGAAAATGGGAATAAAGAAAGCAGAAGAGACCCTGTCCCAACATCCACTGTCAAGGTAATTATCCACCTAATTTAGTGACTTCTATCATTATAATTATAAACTTGAAAACTGGAACTTGCCAAACCAAAACCGTCAAAAGCAAAACCGGTACTCGCTCAATTCAAGCAAATTTGAATTTCATTTGTAAGTTGCCCCGAGCAATCTGCCAATCAATATTTCAACATTATGTGGAAAAGAACGTAGTATTGGTATTGGTACTAATATTGGTTTCTTATCTTTTTGGTGATTTTCAGGGCCACGACGGGGGCAGTTTAAGTGTTGGTCAGTGGGTGGCAGTTGCCTACAATGAAGGCTTCTTCATAGGCAAGATAACTGCCATCAATATGCTTGTGCTGGACGAGACTGTGGAAGAAATTGACGTCAATTTTTTGACAAAGACAACAAAGGGAAATTACAAGTGGCCAAAACGCAAGGACACTGACATAGTTAGTACAACCTATATATTTTTTTCAACACCTACCGTTAACGAGGATGGCAAAAACTTTGTTCTCAACAATGAAGACAACATCTCAAAGCATTATGAGAGCTACAAAAAGGCTTATATGATTAATTAACTTATGGGGGTAAACAGGCTTTTAGCCAGCATTTTGCATGTAGGCGTCCACTAAATAATTGAAATAACGAATTAATGACATCTCTGATGATCAAAAGCATACATGATGCAAAAATGAGGAAAACAAACTATGAAATGATGTTATTCACACATATTTAAAAGAATCACAAACCCTCCCAGTGATCAACTTGGACATCAAGATCTTTTAAAAAAATGTTTTCCTGAAAACTGGGCGTCCACAGGACACCCGGACGCCCACCTGGCTAAAAGCTTGGGGGTAAACAATGATTGACATATACAATGCATGCATTCCAAATTTTGAAATGTACATAATAATATTAATTTTATTTTTAAAAAGTTCTTGTTCCAGAAATATTGCAGTGAAAAATGATTTGTATATATACACTCAAACTTTTATATGCTAAAATGGAATTATTATCAATATTCTATAACAGATAACATACAAAATTATGATATCAGATTAATATTTATGATGATATATTTTTAAAATTGATGTAAATATATTTACAGTTGCCAAGTAGAAACCAAAGCAAATTATTTTATTGATTCTCAGTGAATTGCATTCAACTGGAATTTGGACTATTTAGACTATTTAGCTATTGCATAAATAGCAATTTCTAATTTAAAGAGTTATTTTCTTTTAATATTAATAGAATGTTGTTCTAATAATTATTACTATTATTGCATTACAAGATAAAAGGAAATGAGAAAGAGTAAGGAGTGCTACATGTAGCTGTCTGAGCTGATTCCACCAAATGGGTGCAATAAAAAACTCAATCAATTATGAACCAAACATTTATACCTCATTTAGTCCTGTGTACCACTGTGCTTTTATAGCTACAGTATATATGCACAAAGCAGTAAATGCATCAACCACGTAAGTGTCTTCATTTTTTGTGCTTGAATTATGATTTTATTTTTTAAGCCACCAAAATAATATAAAATAATGTTATTGATTAAACCGTCAATATTCATGGCCTTTTCACAAAGTTTTCATGGTCCATGTTTTGACTTATTTACCCCATGAAAATAACTGAACTCAATTTTCATGGGTCTTCAAAATGCCATGAAAAGGACATGAACATTTTCATGACCCGTTAATATTTTAATATTAATGGAATAACCATGGGTTTTTCATGGCCATGAATCCAGTGATGCCCCATTAAAAGTCCATGAATTGCAATATGAAAAACATGGTGTTTAATTCATGGGTTTTTCAAGGTAATTAAAAATCCATTAAAATCCACATGAAACTTTCATGGCATTTTCATGGGTATTTCAGGGACTTGCCCAAACCTGAGAGGGTTTTCATGGGCCATGAAACTTAAAATATTAAGGGGATTTTAATGGCTTTTTTAATGCTTTTTTCATGCCTTTTTCAGGGTGGCTTACCATGAAAATCTCCTTACATTTGGCCATGAAAATACCATTAAAAACCTCTAAAAAACCTGTGAATTGACCATGAAAAAATTCACAGGATTTTCATGGGTTTTTATTTCATAGTGTCTGTTAATTGCGTCCAATGATACCTATAATCTCTCTGGCATGAAAAGGAAAGGTTAACAACCAAAACAACCCCTCCCCCGCTCCCTCCCCCCCCGAAAAAAAAACAAACAAACAAATACAAAAAGAAAAAACAACGAGAAATAGAGAGTGACTATATAGAAAGAAAGGAGCATAAAAGCAAAATCAGCGATCCCAATGCTAAGTTTTAAAAGGACCACTCTGGATACGTTTTTGAAAGTAAAAAATACGATTTTTGCAAATCAAAACGCTCAGCATCTTATTTACATCAGGTGACTTGCAACTCTTGTCAGCGTGCCTGTAAGTGTACTGCTGAATTTACAGCTTACAAATAAAGTCCTTGCAATCTTCCTTCTCGGCTTTGAAGGTCAAATAAGCAAAACTTTCAACGGGGTAAGCTACCGTTAGGACTTGTGACTGGTGCATGTTTTTATTGGCATACGTCGTACACAGTTTATATGCTCATTAGTATATATTAAAAATAAACAAAAGATGAATAAACAAATTGCAAGAGCAAAAATACCTTACAAGCTGGGTTTGTATCATCTACAAGATAAACCCAAATCTTCCAGTCTCTTCCTTGTTTTGGTCGTTTAGCAAAGATCGCCATTTGCATTCTTTTCTTGTCCTCTTTTCCTGGTCTCCCAAACGCAGCGATCTCGACGTCCTCCTGAAGAGATGGCAGAGTGACTTCAATGTCATTGTGTATCAATTGCACTTTAGCGTCGGGGTAGAACAACATCAGGCTTCTCCAGTTGTTTCTTTGGTTGGGCTCTTCTTGGATGTCATGCAGTAAGGGGCGACATTTCACCTGGATTTCCCAATTATTTTCGGGTTTCATCAAACAAGAGTGTTCAATCCGCGTTGAGTGAAATGTTGGGGTACCACTTGTGATCTTATAACAGCCACTGATCTGGACTTCTGATTCTCGCAGAACATCGGTGTCCATTTCTAATTAAAAAAAAAAGAAAGAAAAAGGAAAAAAAAGAGGGGAGCTCTTCAGTCTACGGCATAGAATAATAAGGACCATATTTTTCACTGCAGAGTCTGGTTACAAAGTTATACTGGTACAGTAGCCTAGAACTGGTTACATTTACTCCGACACTAAACATGTACATTTTTAGATTTTCTATAACAATTATGATGCTACAAATAACGTTTCATCATCATTATCATTATCGTTATCGTTATCGTTATCGTTACCATTATCGTTATCGTTATCATTATCGTTATCATTATCGTTAACCTTATAGACTGCTTGCAGTCCGCCTTTTCTCTTAAATCCGTCTAGTTCTTATCTCATCCAACGCGATTCTAAACCAGGACGTTATTATTAAATAGACGTGCTTAGGTTTCGCGTGCAGAACAGCTTTGCAACGAAAAACAAGAGACTGCTCGCAGTCTATTAACCTTATCCTTACCCTTACCATTAACATTACCCTTATCCTTATCCTCATCCTCATCCTCATCCTCATCCTCATCCTCATCCTCATCCTTATCATCATCATCATCATCATCATCATCATCATCATCATCATCATCATCATCATCATCATCATCATCATCATCACTCTTGTAATTATTATTATTTTAAGTACTATTATAATTGTCCTTTATTCGCATATAAGTGGAAGAAAATAAAAAGAGGAAAGAACACAAGTGAGGATTGCGAATACGTGCACCAAACGCTTTTGGACAACCCACTTGTTGGATATTTTTTTATTCTGTGCCGTTCATTGTACTGTACGTGAAAATTCTGCATGTCAGCATAAAAACCTAGCCGTTATAGTGTGGACTAGCTCTAAAGGTCAACAATGAATTTACATAAATAACACAAGAGTGGTAACACTGATCGAGAAGAATTTCCAGAAATATTTATTTTGGAAGAAAAAAAGATGTTAAATTATTTTCCCCAATATTTTTTTTCCTTTTCTAACAAAAAATAGGTATCTCAACCTTGCACTTACCAATTTTGGCCATTTGCTCGGCAGCGTCGTGTACCTTGCTGAGTACTGCATAAAAAGTTTTCATTTGTCGAACCTCAATCTTTTATATCGTGGCCACAACCTTGTTTACAACTTTCATAACAGGTGATTAGTTCATATTGTTTCTATTTTTTGTCGCCTGGGATACTGTTTCATAATCTCGTGACCAATAAAACACAGCCAAATAAAGAAGGGGGTTTTTCCCTTGAAGGGTTTTCGCAACGTTGCACATTTCGGTATATTGTTAACCTTGAGAAATACTAAACGTATACAAGAAATTTAACCTACATTAATAGCTTTGGATAGATAAATAACGATTTTTTTGTCGAGTTAAGAAAAGAATCATAGATATAGGCGCACAAAATTCATGAAAAGTTTTGCAATCTTCAGCCCGGAGTATTGTTTACATGTAAGACACTATAATTCAAACGAAGTTTAAACGTGCTAGTAATTAGTATAGGTAATAGTATGATTAATATTTGTAGAGATATTTGGCACAATAATATAATAACATATAATAAAATAAAATATATTTATATGCAATTATTCGCCTCAGAAAATTTCAGAAGAAAAATTGAATTCATTTGTGCTTATCTTCAAGGTAAACAGGGATTTTTCCCTAAATTACACGTGCCACACACGAAAACGCTTTGCGAAGCAAAAAGGCAAATCTGATCATCAATCCATTGTTGCTCTGAGGGAATTTTCCCCTGTATTAGGGTCACGAGATCGAGAGATCAGAGTGACAACGCAAGCACATTTCACAGCCTTTCAATTAGAAAGATAAAGAGAAAATACAGAAATATTAGGGACTTTTCACTTCTTGGTGGAAAAAGAATAAGCCCGAGTCCTTCTGATGACCGTCATGTGACTCTGAAACATAAAAAAAAGATAGTGCGATAAACAAAGCCGACATGAAAACTGAGTAGTCTTTAGTTTACCCTCGTTTAAATCACACAAACGTGGGAGAAGATTGTTTTCATAGGATTCTTTTAAGACTTACTGCGATACATGAGAAGTCGAAAGAATACAGACCGTGGCAAGCCCGTTTAGTGCAACATCCTTTTTCAAAATATTCAAATTGGACGTACAAGTAAGTTTTCTTATTATTTTTAAACTCAAGTTTCAGAAATTTCTCGCCTATTGATACTAAATTTAAATGACTATATACATGTATGTATAACAGATATCATGTTTATCATCTTGAATACGAGCTGTGGAGTAAAATAATAATTTCACTGATCGTCACGCGACTTTCAAGAAAGCCATTTTGAGAAACTTTGACGAATCCAAGGTCACACTAACCTCCTTTTTTTCGTAATATCAGCCTTATGGATAACTTGTAGTCCT